CAAACAAACAAACAAAAAAAAATACCTTGGAATTTAGGAGTCACCAACTAGATCTCTTTCTATAGAGAGATGATAGATAGATGATGATAGATAGATAGATAGATAGATAGATAGATGATGGATAGAGATAGATAGGATAGATAGATAGATAGATTGATATATGTATATGTATGTCTCTGTATGTGTTTGCATTCCCTGAGCTTAGAAAGTGCTCTTATTTGATTAATAGAAAACCTGAAGAAAATGGGATCTTTATGACCAAAACTGACTTAATCCATAAGTAACTATTCTTTTATAAGAGGAGTCTAGGTCGTGTACTATTTTGGAACTATCCATGATATCTATGAGGGAAATAAAGTTATAAAAGATACAAGGGGAAAATAATAACATGTTTATTTCTTTTTAAGACTGTGCAAGAGAATCACAGAATTGAGCTCCACAGTGCTTACTTCTGATTTTCAGACTCAAGACAATAATTTTCTAGCCTATGTGTTCTTGGAGACAGGCTCTGCCACTAGCAGAATGATCTTGGTTGAGGAAATAAACATCTTTGCTTTTGTAAGATGAAAAAAAAAAAAAAAGTATAAAATCATTTCAAATTATTTACTTTGAATGTGTTACCACAAGAGTATATGGTAAATAACTTGTTTAGCTTATCAGTTTTTTTTCCCCCAAAGACAATAAAAGAGCTCATTACTTTGAAACTTATTCAGCTAACACACACAGCATTTTGAATAGAAATACTCAAAGCAGGTATCATTCTAGGTAGCCACATGTATTACGGGGTGTTCTTGTGGCAGCTCTACTCACTATACCCTTTTAGGACACCATTCTTAGGAAATAAGCTGCTCTCCTCATTTTGGGTTCTATTGGCCATTATTGTCAATTTGTTCAGGTCTTTCATAATCCACAGTACTTTTTCACCTTTTAGCTACTAAAATTAGAATTATCATTCCAAGTCTACGTCTGTATAGAAAAATCTTTTTTTTTGGGGGGGGGGTTACTGTTTAAATGATATTGAAAAGCATGTTATTTTATTTTCTTGCATCCTAATAGGAACAGTTATGTTTTATCTCTCAGTAGACTGAACAATCTCATTGGTCCTTCGACTGAATTTTGGATATAGACTGGCAGTAGAATATTGGCCTAATATGTTCAATCTTCAGTACACAAAACAAAAATTTCTAGCAGTTTCACCAAGTTTACACCTTAGTCCTTTCCTTTTTAAAAAATATTTTATGTGTATGAGTGTATTGCTTGCATGTAGGAGGGTGCACCCATGTCGTGCAATGCTGGAGGAAGTCGGAAGAGGGACTCCAATCCCCTGGAACTGGAGTTATGGATTGTTGTTAGCCGCCACGTGGGTGCCAGGAATCAAACCCACGTCCTCTGCAAGAGCAGACAGTGCTCTTAACTGGTGAGCTATCTCTCCAGCCCCTCCTTTCCTTTCTTACAAAATATTAGATATTAGAAATTTTCCAGTTGGCTGAAAAAGGATCAACATTCTTCTGAAATGAGATCACAGTTCTGTCAATAACATTTTATTGTTTTACGTGGGGAGACTATTAAACATGTTACGTATTCTCAGTTACCAATTAACTGGCTGAAAGACAATTTTTGCACAAATGATCACAAGTACTGCCTGTCACTTGCATTTTGTTAGGACCTATTGGTAAAACTTTCTTTTATTGAAAACCTAACACACCAAAGCAAAGCAAAGCAAACCAAACCCACCAACCAAACACAAAAAAAGACGTGTAGTAGTGCCCCAAAGCAATTATAACTGAAGCAAAGCACCCTAACTTTTATAATGTAAGTTTCTAATAAGAAACTAAAAAGGGCTTTTTACCCTACACAATCTTTCTGGGAAAGGCAAGGAGAGAAAGTCTGTGCATACCTTTGTTCTTTCATAAAATTTAACAGTCGGATAGGCTTTTATACCAGCTTTCTGGCATGTCTGGGCATAGGCCTGACAGTCTACTTTCCCAGCTTTCACCTTTCCTTTGATCATCTGAAAAAGGAAAAATATGTCTTGTCATTTTCTCTTTGGCAGAAATTATTTTGGTAACCACAAAGCCAACATAACATGTTTCAAATCTTTATATGTTTGAGAATCTCAGTTATATGTTTTCAAAACTCAGTTTTAATCCTTCCCATTCAAACAAGACTGTTTCTGTTTTTTTCCTGGCTCTTTGGACTTCCCATTCACTACCATCTCTCTAACACTAAATGAACTCTCCTCTTCTTCAAGAACACTTGGAGGCTTTAACCCCAACCTCCCTAACCTGCTCCCAGCCATCCCCTCTTGGCCCATCAAACCAGAGAGACCTATCTTTAATCCTCCTTTCCCTGATTTCATGTGCTGGTGTAGTGTGCTTAGTCTGGTGTAAGGCTGACCATCCGTCTATGTTGTCAAGGTCATATCTTACCCTTGTCAGTATACACTGACACAGATAATCACAAAAGGAGTTTTTCCTGGACTGTAACAACTCTAGTTACCAGTGTAACGCCTATCTGTCTCCACTGCTTGTTTCTTCTAGGCTACAGTCCAGCTGTCTATACTTTCACCATTTCCTCATCATCTTCCTATGTGGCACTTAGCTGACTTTTGTTTTTACCATTACCAATACTGAAACAATGTTAAGTTCACCAGCAACTTCAGCTTGATCAAACTGAATGGATCCTTTCTGGACTTCATAATGCATACTTTATACTGCTCTTCACTCCTTTCTCTTTTCTTTCATGACCTGTGTTGTCTTTGTTTTCCAGAATGAGGACTTTCTAGTTCAAGCTATCTTTGCTTCTAGTCTGATTCCTAAGGTCAGTAAATAAGCACAAGCAGGTAGACTAACAGGTTAGGGCAAGAGCATGACTGTAGGAAGCGCTGTATGCAGACACACGTTGCAAATTCAAGGTCAGAGATATCCAGAAATGTGACTTAAGTCTATCATGTGCAAAATGTTTGTTAGCTTACTTGTATTTTCACTGACTTCTGAGAGGGCCCAGACTGTTTTTGGTACTCTATTGCTCAAGAGTGTATTCTGAACATTGTGATCAGGGAGACAGTGCACAGTGTGGTGGTATGGGGAAAAGGACTAAACTTCTTCCTCTTTGCCTAATCTTTTAATCTGCAGTTTTTGCTATTCCCTTCCCAATACTGGACTAGAAGTGGAATCACAGAAATGTCCACCTCTCGTTTCTCTGCATGCTAGCAACTATCTTCTTTGTGAAGAAAGCATTCTGGCCAACCCTTTCAAGTGCCATAGTCATGTTGTTAATTTCTATAACAAAACAAACTCATAGTCATGTTGTTTGTCTCAAAACTTAAGTTTTCTGTGGAATCATTTGCCTTCTAGCATGACGCTTCCATTTTCCACTTGTGTTCTGGCTTCATTCTAATTTCATTATAGCAATTACTCTGTCTGGTCACATATATTTATTTGCAGTCTATCTTCCAACTTAAAAATCTTCTTAAGTGTGGAAATTTTGTCTTTTTATCTTTGTAGCTCCTGTAATGGCTCTGACTTGGATTTGTTGAGTGAATAATCCTCTTCATGCTTAGAAATTTTATGTTATGGTCAAGACAGTTATAGTATGAAGCTTATAATTCAGCTAAGTTTTCAAGCATGATGGATAAGAGAACAAAAGATTTTGTTAGAATTATCTGATAAAAAGGAAGCATAAGAAAAAACTAGATTAAGTAGAAAGAATGAATGGGCTCTTATTTGACAGACCAGCTAGCATTCTTCTGGCCTGGGATGCCTGATATTGAGGAAACGGTATTTCTCATTCTAGTGAGTGTTGTGTGCCAGTGGCAAGAGCTCCTTATACAAGCAAGGAAGCAAGGAAGTAACCAATCTGGATTAGGTCATTAATAGAACTTTTTAGGACAGAAAGAAACACCAAAAACCCAATTAAATTCAATTTCAGTCATTAAACTCAATTTCATAGTCATTAAGAATACAGAAACAAGTAAGACACAGACCTTTTCCCTTAATCTTATGAAAATATAGATGTGTATAGGAATAATGTACAAAGGGTACTGATGAAGAATATAATGCAAGGGTGGCACGGATCAAATGAGAAAGGCAGACAACACAGACCCAGGGGCATTAGAGTTGGCTTTTGTAGGATGAGGGGGAAAAAAATCAGTTGTCTAAGATAAAGGTAACATTTCACAGAGAAGGAACAACCAGGCATTTCAGAACACATGTTCAGAGCACATGTGGTACTGTGTTGGTGTAGGGTGAGGGACAGAGACAAAACTGAAGAGCATGAACTGTCAATCAGAGACCTGAAATCAATGAGTACACATGGAAAAATGTGGTTAATAAGCTGGAGACACAGAACTGTAGAAGAATCACCAGGGCAGCACTGGGGAAAAAGACTGGCAGCAGAGCCAATCTATGTAGCCAATCTATAGGCTTGAACAAAGACAGATGGCAGATTTGAAAGAAATGCAGCAGACAGAACTAAATAGGAATTAATGGTTAGTTGGAGGTCAAGTGTACTGATGACAGGGAAAGAAAAAAAAGAGACAAGAGGAAGAAATGTTTCTGACTTTTATGGCCAGGTTGGTGATGGAAGCACTGACTACTAAGAGTATAGTCAGAGAAACAGAATAAGTGTTTTTAAATTGAGAGATAATTTAAAAGAAATTGAGATGAAGTTATTAATTATTAACATATGCGTGTGAGTACAATTTATTTAAGTAGACAATAATACTTACCCTAGCCAAGAGTTCAAATTCTGGAGCAAAATTTTGGCAAGGTCCACACCAAGGAGCATAGAAATCAACCACCCAGTGATTTTTCCCTTGTAAAACCTTTTCATTGAATGTCTGAGGTGTTAAATCTATAGATGCTTGAGGCAAAAATCTGCAGCAAGGGATCAAAAACAATTTTTCATTTTATAAAATGAAAGCAAGCAATCTAAAATGTAATACTGCAAGCCTTTTGAAGGTAAAAATGGTTCCAAAGAACAGCAATGTAATGAAGCTTAGCTTCATCTTGGTAAACAATCCTTTAGTAAGTAACTTAAAATGCTAGAACCTTATAGCTAACAGAAAATCATGGACATTAGAAGGTAAGCTGCTCTGAATCTGTTCTATACAACAATAAGTATTTTAATTACTCACCCTAGACCCCAGATTCTCAGGGAATAAGCATCCCTATTCCAGCCATTGTAACTACTGAAAGAAAAACATATAAGTTGTACATCTTTTTTTTTTATTATTGAATATGATCAGCAAACAATCTTATTGTAGCAATTTTTTTTTTTTTAAAAAAAGCTTGGTTGATTTCACTTAGCATCTAGCTTCTGCAACATAAATATGCGTTACCTGGCTTCCCAAATGTGTTTCTCTTGTCTTCGTATCCTTTTATCTTTTTTTGCCCAGGAGGGCCTCATACCTGCTAAGCCTGCTCTCTCTCACTGGGCTACATCCTTAGCTCTAGTCTTAGCCTTGCTCCAGATAAATCAGAGTGCTTATGTGCTTGCTGGACATCAAAGAACATCAAAACTCAAAATGTTCAAGGCTTTAGTTTCAAAACCTTACTGTCAAATTCCCACCCATTTTTAAAAAGCTACTGAAAATGTACTTTTTGTGATTTCTCCACAGTTGTGATTCCGTTATCTTTTGAAATCCATGGCTCATTTTTCATGTCCTTAATCACACTCTTCCTTTTCTACCTTACATTTATGAGTTTTTTTTTTTTTTAAAACCTATCTGATGTATAAACTATGTGGATAGTATGACAGTCCTAGGTTGAAATGCCATTATCAAACATTAGCAGGTTTATGAGTTGGACAGTCTAAATGCTGATTATTAGTTCCTTTCTCAAGAACAGTAGGAGGGTATAATTCCTTCCTCCTAAAGTATAATATAAGCACTAGTGGCAATACCATGAGTGAAGAATGGCCAGTAGCTGAAGCCAAATGCTAGCTCTTTCTCTCCATATCTTCTTGACTATAGAACTTCCCCAACAGTTCTCTCTTCATCTTCCAAGTACTTAGCCATGTACCTTCTTAAAGTATGGTGTTCTCCCCATATATATGTGTTGGACTAACTTAAATGTTAACTGAATAACTGGTTATAATAAATGTTTTCGAATTTGAGAGAGTACTTACTGATACTGATGAGCTTTATTTGACTTTTGGGGATAAAATCTTATCTCAGGGTATCTTTGAACATTTTCTTGGGCACAGAAAGAATGATACTGTTGACAGTCCACACTGCCCACACTGATTAGTCCAGTTAATGTCTATAAAGGAAGTCAATACACCGGTCAACAACTGAAATAGAATTATTCCCACAACTTTTTATGTGTTAAATAGTCATTGTAAAATGGTTATTTTATTATTTATTAGTGTTATGAAATAATAATGAGTAAAGACTTAACATAAAATAGGCCATTTATACTAATGAACAGGAAATCTAACTTCGTAAGAACTTTTCATTTACTACAGATTCAATAATTGGCTCCACTAATTTTTCTCACTTATGGAAAAAAAACGTGTATTTTAAAAACTCAATGTTAATAACTAAAATATAATCCAATATTAAAAGTTACTTTTAATGAAGGTAAGCATTATCTTTGACTCACACTCAAAAAATTATATTCCAAAGAACACAAAATGCATAGTATTAAATGTTAAGATATTAGAACTCATTTTAACTTTTAAGTTTATTTTTATCTTAGAGATACATACGAAATATTCATCTCATTTTCCATTCTGTTATTTAAATTATTTGCTTTCATTCAATATTTTATAGCACTATACCTGTTCATAGGACATTTTATAATACGAATGTTTTGCTATTTTATTTAGTGGACAGGGAATTGCTTTGTAGGCCAGGATGACCTTGAACCCCTGATCCCCCTGTCTCAGCCTCCTGAGTGCTAGTATTATTAACATGCACTACTGTACCTAAGGCTATTTTTAAGTTCTACAATATTGTGAAGAAATGATACCTGTAAGCTCTAAAAAGGGTAGAAAAAATTTAAACAGGAAGGGAAGATGATCTTTGCGTTAACACTGGAAACACCTTGGTCAAAAGTGTACCAGATGCTACACAAAAAAAGGTAAGTTATTCTCTGCAGTTCACATAATAGAAACAGTGGTGGAATCTTAATGCTATGATCAGGTCTGATAGCAGCTATAGGTTCACCCATCTTTGTTTTGAAATAACTCTGTTTACGAAACATTCTTTTTTGTTGTTGTTATTTTTGTTATTCACTATGTAGCCCTGACTGGCCTGGAACTTGCTAGGTAAATCAGGCTGGTCTCGACTCACAGAGATCCACTTGCCTCGACCTCCCAAGTGCTGGGACTGAAAGGCATGTGCCACCATGCCTGCCTTAACCCAACATTCTTAGTAAGTGTAGTATTTAAATAAACTTACCCGGGCCATTCTTTTCCACTCTGGCATTAAGACTTGACAGGGATGACACCATGGAGAGTAGAAGTCAACCATCCAGACTTCATCATGCTTTCTCTGTTTGACTAGTTCATTGAAAGTGGTAGGTGAAAGAGAGACTACTGAAGGGTTTCTAAGATCCTAGAGAAAGCACACACACTCGAATTGTTCATGTATTTCTGGCTAGTTGCTGGTATACAGCATTCAGAAATTTCTGATTTTAGAGAAATCAAAAGGAACTTAAGTATATTTAAAGGACATCTATCATGAATTGCTTTAATAAAAAAAAGTAATAAATTTTTTAAGTTTGGATTTTACTCATCAGTTTTCATAAATAAAGGTATGTTTTCCCCTTATCACTAAAATCACTAAGTTGGGAAAAGTAGAAACTTCAAGGTTATGAGTAGCTAATATATTCAAGTTTCAAGAATTATACAGAGGGCTATATAGGGCACAGTGATGTTTTGCATATCAACAACAATCTATTTACAAATGACTCTTTAATTACTAATGGAAAATGTACTATTATTTTTGACTTATGAATGGAGAAACTATATAACTCTCTTAGAGATTACATATTCCAAAAACTGACTTAACAATGCCTCAGGCTGTATCAAGTAATACTAAGCAAGAGGTTAGCTTCATTAGGAAAACAGCCAAAACGAAACAAAAAATTATTTCTGAGAAGAACAGATGGATATGACAGAGTAGGATGAGTGGACATTAATAGGCTACAATTTTTCATTTCTTAGGGATTCCTGGAAATTATTTCAGTGAAGACTATTAATGAAAACAAAGGAGTTCTGTAGATGTAGAGGCCTCTGTGCTATCGATGCACAAGCTTGGTATAAGCTGCCCAGACTTGTTGGTATAGATACAGCATTTCTGTATTCAGAGAAAACAGGGAAGGGGTGACATGGCTTTATGGAAAAACTTAACATTACATATCCAATAGCTATGTCTATTATGTACAAGACACCATACTAAGCAACAGACTAAATGTCTTAAATAAAAAAAAAAAAAAATCTGTTTCAGAAAACAATCTCCTGGTATGAAAAGTATGAAGTCCCAATATAAACAAATACCTCTATGAACTCCAATATCTGTTCAGCAGAGTGATGTCCTTCATACTCATGAATACTGGACTGGTTGAATACCACTGTTGTTGGATAAGCTTGAATGTTATACTGTTAGGAAGAAGAAATTCATGTATTTTATCTATTTGTTTCAATTTTGGAATAGCTTGATATTGTCCTGATGATTGACAAATTTTAGGTTAGACAAAAAAAAAAAATGCACTTAAGTTTGTGCTGATGACCAGCTGATCCTTATTTATAACTACCATGAGTCATAAAATCTAATGGTATCAAAACATGAGAAGCGAGCAAACATCATCAAGGATCTTTATCTTCCTCTACTCAAACTATGTAGAAGAGGCTATAAAGAGTAGGCTATATCTTTAGCTTCATCCGCTTTTTGAAATAACAGGAAACACTCTAATTATCCTAGAAGTAGATGACCAACAAAGCAAAACAGCAAGAATAAATGAACACGACTGTTTTTTAAAAATATTATTCTAATTTTTTTGTATGTATAAGTGTATTTCCTGCATGGATGTAAGTGCACCCATGTTGTGCAATGCTCTTGAAGGTCAGAAGAAGGTGTCAGATCTCGTGGAACTGGAGTTACAGATGGTTGTTAGCCGACATGTGAGTTCTGTGAATCAATCCTGGGTCCTCTGTAAGAGCAGCCAGTGCTCTTAACCACTCAACCATCTCTCTAGAACCACGAACATGACCATGTTTTATATTGAAGAATAATGAATCATGCTCTAAGAAAATGATCACTATTATTATTATTATTATTATTATTAACTTCTCAGAATTAATATGGGCAACCAGCCTTGGAAATATTTAAAACTTTTTTTTTTTACTGATTAAGTGAACAATTTACTAAGAGAACATTATAATTCTAAACAAATATGCACAAGTTTATCAAGTCCATGAAAGAAACAGATTCATCTCAACACAATAGGATGTGATGGTTTGAATGAGAAATTCCCCCACAGGTTCAATCTTCTAGTGTTCCAGTTGGTGGTGCTGTTCAGGAGGTCATAGTATCTTTAGCTTTGCTGGAGGAAGTCTGTCAGTGGCGCAAACTAGTTAAAAAGTTATCCCGTCTGGATCTATGGATTTGATGGTTGTGTGATCTGCTGTAGCTGAACTATGTGTCCCTAAAGTTAATAAGCATACCTGGGTGTGGCAGTGACCGCCCTTAATCTCAGCACCTGGGAGGCAGAGGCAGGTAGATCTTGTGAGTTCCAGGAGAGCCTGGTCTACACAGTGAGTTCCAGGACAGCCAGCATTGCACAGTGAGACCTTGTCTCAAAATAAAAGTTGATAAACACTCATTGGAAAATTGGAAATTCTAAGCACTTTCTCACCCATATTAAAACCATATTATCACCTTCACATCTCAAAATGAACAATTCCTTTAAACTGGATATCTTGCCTGCTCAGATCAACTATACTTGACAGACAAGGATTAAGGAATCGAAAGAATATAACTTCTAAACTGTAAAGTTATAAAAATACAAAGAACTAAATAAATGGAAAATTATGTAAGTATTTTATGAAAGCAATTAAACATATACCTGAGTTTGGTAAATAAAGCCTATATACATTCAACCATCCATCTCACATTTAATCTAATCATAACTTAATATTTTGTTGGAATTATTTGTTTAAATATTACTCTAAATATAAGATGTGCATTTGAAAAGTTGTTTGAGTATTAGACTGTCAAAGTTTCTCTTTGACAAAAATAGTAATTAGAATAATTCAGTTTTTTAAAGATTTTATTTTTGTTTTATTGAGACAGGGTCTCCCTGTAGGCCTAGCTGGCCTAGAGCTCACTATGTAAACCAGGCTGGACTCGATTGCACAGAAATCTGCCTGCCTCTGCCTCGCAAGTGCTGGGACTAAAGGTGTGCACCATGACCAAACTTAAGATTTCACTTCTGATTATTTAAATTTATGTTTCTCTGTGTGGGAGTGAGTGCATGTGAGGTGCAGTGCCCATCAAATCCAGAAGAGGGATGCAGATCTCCTGGAACTAGAGTTAAAGACGGTTGTGAGCCACCCAGTGTAGATGCTGAGACCCAAACTTGGGTCTTCTCTAACAGGCCCAAGTGCTCATAACTACTGAACCATCTTTCCATCCCTAGAATAAAAGTTTTGTACTTTGGCTTACCATGTTACAGAGTCCTTCATGAATTGTACAATCTAATGTACCAAATTTAAGCTGACCATAGAGAAGCGTTGATGCTTTTCGTAACTCTGGCAACAAAGCTCGGCATGGTGGACACCACTAGGAAAGAAAAAATACTCATAAGCACTAAGACAAACATAGCAAAAAACTTACTTTTGCAACAAGCAGCTTACTAAGTGAAACAAACTATGTAGTGGCATATTTTCTGTGTATTTCCTCCATCTTTGGAGATGTTGCTACATCAGTGCCATTTAGAAGCAGTATGTACTAGTGGCCAAAACAATTTTAGTACTAATGGTTCAAGGTCATCTAGAAAATATCCTTTTGTAATAAGAGAAAACATGGCTATAAGGAAATCTGACAAGTAAAAATAACTTACAGGGGCAAAGAAGTCAACAAGCCATGGTTCTTTGTCACTGGCAGGAAAATTTTGAGGTCCAAGTGTGGTAACGTGAGAATTAACACTTTCTTTGGCAAAGGCAAGTATATCATATAGAATCTTCTTTCCTATAAAATTAAGAATTAAAATATGAACTGTCTTATATACATATTTAAATTTTTCTATACTCGTAAGTATTAAAGAAACAAACATGTGAATGAACTGATTGTGGTGAGGTTTCAGTGCTGTTACAGTGCACACACGCACACACACACACACACATACACAGCCACCAAAAAGGTAAAGCTCCTCCTTTTAAAGTCATAGCAGAAAAGTAGTTTTGGAACTATTTATAAAGAGATAAATGAAACATATTCTCCAGCCTTTTTTCTTACTTTGGCTGCTGATTCTTAAATAGCCTCATAAATTTCTGAACACCCCTGAAAGGTGATCCTGATCATTCAGATTCTGAGTCCCTGTCTTCTGTTCATTTTCACACAAGCTCCTCTTCCCTTGAGTCTTTGTAATTAATATGCTCATTTAAAGCCTTTGTTTTCACCTTAAATTCCTTTCTTGAAGCCCAGGTTTATACTGAGTTGTGAATTGGACATCCTACTTCTCCTCAATTTCTCATCTAGTGTTTTCTTCCTCATCAAATGGTAAAATTACTCAAAGGCCAATTTACCAAGCAGTATTATGAGAATTACCCTTGACTCTTCTCCCTAACTCTCTACATCTTAACAATCACTCAAGTATATGGAGTTGGTCCTCTTGGTATTTAGAAATCTTCCTACTTTTTTTAAAATTGTTCTCTTCACGACCATCATTTTGCTAAGGTAGCCCTATCTTTTAACCTAAGTGACTATATCAGCTTCCTGCCTCTTCTCTTTTCTTCCAATGTTGCTCCAACCCACTCTGGGGAGTCAGTCACTTTTCTAAAATGGAGGTTCAGTTAAGTCTGTTTTGTCCTTAGTTTAAAGTCCAAATTCCTTTACCTAAGAGATTGGTCCTTAATCTGGATTATTTATCCTGGGTGTAGACAACTACTACGTTGTAAGCAGGCTACAGAGACGTCTACATCAGGTGAGAACCTAGGCCTCTGTCCCGATTATCCCATGAGTCAGGCTAAACCTGGATCCAGTGGGTATAGTCCAGCCTTCAGATGACCCTCATCTGCCTTGACTACAGTATCATGAGGGAACTGATTTAGGTGGTTTCCAGGTTCCTAGTCACCAAATACTGTGATAATATTTGTTCTTCTAAGCTGCAATGTCTTGGGAAAATTATTACTTAACAACAGATAATAGTTCATACTCAGACATTAAAATGTTTATCCTAAAAGCTGGCACATCTTTAATCCCAACATTTGTAAAGCAGAGGCAGAGATCTTGGTGAGATTGAGGCCAGGGTGGTCTACATAGTGAGTTCCAGTACAGCTGGGGCTACAGGGAGATCCTGTCTCAAAAAACGAAATGTCTGTCCCAGTCTATAATCTTCTTTAAGGCAGAGATCTAAGTACAGTTCACATTTTTTTTTCTAATTTATGTATTGTCCCGGAGACACAAAGATGCTCAATATCTATTGAAATTTAAAGAAACAATACAGGTATTATGAAGTTATGAATAGCACATAAAAGGAAGCATCTGCAGATTCACAACGTATTTTCTAGGGGAGAAAGAGTTTTAAGTTTTGAAGGGTAATTTGGAGTTTGTTAAGTATTTGGAGGAATAGGAAGGAATAATTACAATTCAGGAGGGAAAATCATATGTGAAGGTATAAAGGAGTGAAAGAAGATGGCATGTTCAAAAGATTCAAAAGTAATTGGCAAAGATTACTTAGACAGACAGAAGTAGGTGATGAGCCTATAAAAACTGGCAGAGGCATGTATAAAAAAACCACCTGATTCATTTAGCAACTCTTTACAAAGTTCCTACTATGTGCATGCATCATTCTAAGTGCTTGAGACAGAACAGTGAGCAAAACATAAAATCACTACTTCATATACTAAGGAATCTGAAGTTCATTCTACAAGTGATCAGGAGAGGTAAAGGGAGGATAGTGGCATGATAATAGTGTGCTGGGGACTAACTGCAAACGAGACAAGAAAACAGGAGGAAAGACTAGAAACCGGCAGTTCTATAGGAGGCTACTGCAATAAACAAAGGCTATGATGGACCTGAAACAGGCAGAACAGAGAAGGTGTGAGGTGTACTTCGGAGGTAAAACAGGTAACTCTAACCTGGGCATTGTGATGCATGTCTGTAATCTCAGCACAACAGAGGCTGATGCAGGAGGAATGCCTATTCAAGGGCAGTTTGGGCTTGACCTATATACAAGGTTTACAGTGAGACGCTATCTCATGGTGAAGCTCTAACACAGTTTAGAGCTCTAAGCTTAGGTTTTAGAGTTAGACATATTTGGATCAAAAGAAAATCTACTTTGGTTGCATGGAGTAGGGGAAAGTTACTTAATCTTTCTCACCTCAGTTTTCTCCTTCATTAGTGGTTGTGAATGAGAATGGTTCACCTGTACAAGGCCCTTATCTGACTTGTCAATAGAACTGAGTCAACAATACTTAACAGGGTTATCCTGTCATACCTTTGTTCACATAGTTCCTTTAGCTTAAAGGGCCCTACTTCTTTTAGCTCTGTATTTTTTTGAGTAGTGAAACATTTTATGTTCAATTCAAATGTCAAACCCTGATCTATGCTATAGACAAATATATTTAGTCTTGTTCTATTTATGTAAAATAGCTATTAAATATTCTTCATGTTTCCTTATAGATCTTTTTCCTGTCCCTATTAGATTGCATTCAAATTTACTGAGGGCAGAGTTAGAGTCTTACAACTCTGTAGACAAATATTTAAAGTAGTGCTTATAAGAAGGTGAAGTTCAACTAACAGGCATTGAATCAGTCTATGTTTGGTGTCTCTCACAACATCTGTCCTCTTTTAGGACAAAAACATGTTTTTTAGGACATCAGATTATCTCCCAAACTCTATGAATACTGCACATGAATGTAAACTGAAAGTCTCCAAAACCTGAAGTGCAGATACATAATTATAAATTCAAGAGAGAAAACAGTTAACTCTGAGGTGGTTGAGTGGCTGCACATGAACATGGAAACCATAGGTGTTCACTTTTGCCAATTAGCAAATTGTCACCACAATGACTCTGATTGCTGAAACCATGATCAAGATTCTAAACAGATTATTTTTAAAAGAGTAAGAAATATAATAATAAATAATATAATTCAATCTGTCTTTCCCTATATTTACTAGTGACAGCAAATTATTTATAACAATCATGTCCACAAATTAAGAATCACAGTTCAAATATTTCTATTTGGAAGACAAAAGGAACTATTATAATTTTCCTGTCTCACCATGATGAATTTCATATTCTTTGGTTCCCTGTCCTTTAAACACTGCTAGGCATGGCTGAAAAACATAGAGATCACTACAGATGCCTGGTGAAGAAGAGCAGTCAAACATTCCAACCTAGAAGACAGAAGGTTGAATTTAATACAAACAGTTCATACATTCAATTTTCAAATAATCATAAAGCTGACACTAATGACACTACTTTAATGACAGTTTCTAAACCAAAGTCAATGGGTCATAAAAATAAGGGACAAAAATGGTTCATTTACATTTAATATTGAAACCTAATTGTTGTATTGGACTGTCCTCAGATAGACTGATGCCATCTTCTTGGGCTCAGCTGGGCCTGCTAGGCAAAGGATCAGCACAGCTAGGCTTGCCAACTGCCAACGCCCTGCATAGGAGGGGCAGGGAGAGTCATTGGACCCTCATCTGAGTATCCAGCCATACTTCCCAACCTCTGATGAGCAATTCAGCTGTAACTGCACACTGAGGGAAGGGCTGCAGTACATATAGGCTGAGGAAGACATGGGAGGGTCTCTCATACAGCTATGGGGAAGCCATCATCCATGCTTGGGTAAAGACCTTCCATTGCAGCCTTAACGGAGGGAGCACCCACATTTCTTTCTTTTCTTTCTTTCTTTCTTTCTTTCTTTCTTTCTTTCTTTCTTTCTTTCTTTCTTTCTCTTTCTTTCTTTCTTTTTTTACATTAAAAAAAATTAATAACCACATGATTAGAAGAAGCATTTCATTACAGCTTTAACATATTCAGTAACAATTTCCAGAGCAAGGATACATCTCTTTCAAAAGTGGGTATAAATTTTTAGGTTCACAGTTGAATTAATACAGTTATACAATATTGAACTCAATATAAACCCTGTAAGACATAAAATTGAATGAGTTTTTACCCTTTAAAGAAGATCTCCATTTCATTTTAAAATATGCTGTTTCCTACATTTTTAATGCTACTACTAACACTCCCTCACTCATTGTTCTCTAAGTAAGTTCAGTAAACCCACTGATATCCTAGATTTTAGTGGAATCATGCCTCAGTTTCTTGTGAGGAAACAACAAAACAGTGTTTCACACCTGCAATCCAGTGATGGGGAAGTAGGAACACAAGGATCACTGGGGCTTGTAGGCCAGTCAGTTTAGCTCAATGGTAAGCTCCAGGTTCAGTAAGAGACATTGTCTCAAAATTATGGTGGAGAGTGAGTAAGATATCCAATGTCCACCTCTGGTCTCCTCACCCACACTCATGTGTGCACTTGCTCACACACAGGAACACACCCACACAAAATGGTAATATTAATAATCATTACTATATAGTAGATACAACTGACAAACATCCTTCACATCAGACAAGAACAGACTGTGTAAGCCACAAAACAAGTCTCAGCAAATTAAAAGAATTAAAATCATATGTACCTTCTCAGACAACGAAATCAAAGCCGAAACTGAGAGAACAATGGAAAACAAGCAAACACATGGACATGGAACAAAACAATCAATTGGGTCACTTAGGAAATTGAAAAGGAAAATCAAAAAGTTCCAAACTTGGGCATGGTAGAACAAGACCATAATTCCAGGAGAGTGAGGCAGAAGGACCACAAATTCCAGGACAGGCTGTGCTACATAATGAAACCCCAATTCCTTGAAACAGAAAAAATAAAAATGTAACACCCAAATCCATGGGTCAAATGGAAACACTAAGAGAGAAACTTACAACAATAAGTGTACATATCAAAAATTAAAAAAAAAAAATCTATCAATAAGGGTGCCGGAGAGATGGCTAAGGAGTTAAGGGCACTGGCTGCTCTTGCAGAGGACCCAGGTTTGGTTCCCAGCACCCCCACAGATGGCTAAGAACTGTCCATAACTCCAGTTCCAGGGCATCTGATGACCTCTTCTGACTTCTGCAGGCACTGCATGACATGAGTGCACTTAAATACATACAGGCAATACATTCATACACATTAAATAGTATTTTTTTTAAAAAAGAAAACCCAAAGATATAAAATCAAAGCACAAACCAAATACAAAATCAGAAGAAAATAAAGATCAGAGCAGAAATAATTGAGATTGAGACAAAAATAACAAAATCCCCAACAAACCATAGTTTTGTTTTAAAAGACAATCTTGAACAGTCCAGGTTAGCCTTAATCTCCTTAAATAGCTCAGGATGACTTTGAACTCCAGACCTTCTGCCTCCACTGAGATTACAAGTGTGTACCACCTTGCCTCATTTCTACACTGCTGAGGATTAAACCAGAGCTTTGTGCATGCTATGCAAGTACTCTCCCAACTGAGCAACACCCAGGCCCTGAAGTTGTTTTTTTGAAAAGAAAAAAAATTGACCAGCCATTAGTTGCACTATCTAAATACACATAAGGAAGTATACTAGCTAAGAAAAATACATTTCTTACTTGAATATGTTCATTTTTAAGTAGAGTTTTCAGTTTTTTCAATTCAGGATCATGTGAATTTTCATTTTTTCCAAAATGAAAAAAAACAAGCCAGCGATGATGTGCCAAACGGTCCTTAAAGTGACAAAGAAAAAGAAATGTCAGTGAGGAGAAATTCTTGTTTTAGCTACCCTACCCATTATTCAAAATATTACCCAAATTCAAAGACATTTGTAACTTTTATTTTGGAGTTTACTAGGAATAATGTTATGTAAATTAAGTGTATGTTAACAGCAAGCCACCGAATTATATAAATCTTTAAGTAGATAATTGTGGCAGGAAAATGTATGGTTTAAATTTATAGCTAAGAATCTGGGGCAGGGCTAGAGAAGACAAGATTTTATTTTTTTTTTAGGTTCAACAGAAGATTTGGTAGTAATACCAAATGATCTATTTACTGAATCTGGAGTTAAGTCATAAACAGAGTATAATAACTGTATCACTAATTTCATATTGGTGAGCATTCACCAATGCTTCCTACATCTCAATGAACAACATGAAGAGTTCTATAATCAAAAACAAAGTTCCAAATCAGATCCAAAGTTGCTTTATGATCAAAAGCCTGTCTTTCTATTATCTCTTTGGAGCCCATTTTCAAGCCTGGGTAGATCTTTTCAATTAGCAAAACCATAATTTTAGTAATTAGAATTTAACTTAAAACTGATTAATATATAATCCTTTGATATTGCTATTTTCAATTCTTTTTAGCATTAAGATATACTGTTAAAACTTGCAAAGTTACCAACACTTATCATTAATAAAAACATTACCTCTAGTGTATTTTCTGAAAGTAGTTCAAAGTCAGGAAGATGATGTATGAGTTCCATATATATTTCTTTAGCATCTAATGAATTAAGAAACAAAATACTGGACTTTTCTTTGTTATTTAAAGTGGCTCCAGGAGGAAAATAAGCGGTAGTGCTTGTTGTAATTATCTTTTAAGAAAATAATTATGCAAGGTAACCAGTTTTTCAAATTATTCCAAATGACTGTTTTAAAAGCACACCATATTTTGCCAATTATTAAAAATATTGCATAGGTGGTTTTTGAAATGTAAAAAAAAATTCTATTATCATTATTATTAGTGTAGGGGGGCAGCAGGAATACCATGGTACAAGTGTGGAGGTCAGAGGACAACTCTGTGGAGTCAATTCTCTCACACTTTTTTAAAAAATATTTATTTTTATTTTATGTGTATGAGTGTATTGCCTGCATATATGTGAGTGCACCCATGTCATGCAATGCCATGGAGGTCAGAAGAGGGCTTTGGATTCCCCTGGAACTGGAGTTAAGGACAGTTCATAGCCACCACGTGGGTGCTGGGAATCGAGCTCATACTTTTATGTGGGTTCTGAGAACCAAAATTCAAGTTGCTAGGCTTGTGACCATTACTCACTGAGTCACCTTGCCACCCCCTTAAACTGTTTTTAAGTGAAGGAAATTAAATTATGAGGTGTTAATTCGTTAACTGGAATTCTCTGTGGTAATCGTTCCTATAACCTGGAAGTGATTTCTGAGTCATGAGAAAAATATGCTTGTTTAATTTCAGTGCTTAACCATGTTTTCTAAAATGCCAATGCTTCGGTCTCTTAGAATTTTTAATATTAAAATATTTGATGATCTATACTCCAACCAATAAGTAATATTATCAGTATGAACTTATAGCTGGAAAACTAGGGGGGATATTATTGCTTATTAAGGATGCTTTCAGAAATCAAATCATATAAATAGGAGTTTTTAAAGTAAACTACACAGACAAATCTCGTCTTCAAGCATGTCTTAAAGCCATGTCTCTTATAAAACACCAACAAAAGTAAGGTGCACACCTTCTATTTTCCGTCTCCTTTATTTCTGTCTATATTCTATCCTCACCCTATTCTTTTTAGAGAACTCTCTGCAGGTCTAATTGTCAATGAAGTATCTGTTACTACAAAGAATGTAGCAAGAAAATGTACATGGGGGTTAACCAAAGAGATTAATGTGTACCTTTAGTTATGAACCATTTATGTTTAATGATTTAAATCTACATTTTATTAGTTTTAGACATGAGAATGAACACGTGGATAAAAACAATTGAGTATAACATAAAAACAGAAAATTCAGCTTTCTTCTACATTTGTTTATTAAAAAACATTACATGAAGGGGCTGGAGGGTGGCTCAGCAGTTAAGAGTACGAGCTGCTCTTGCAGAGGACCTGGATTCAGTTCCCAGCAACAACATGGTGGTTAACAACCATCCAAAACTCCAGTTTCAGGGGGATCTGATCCCCTCTTCTGACCTCCACAGGAAATGTAGGACACGTATACACTTACATATAAGCAGGCAATAAACTCATACACATAAAATAAAAATAAAATATTTCTAAGAAAGAATGTGTCAAAAGAGGTTAGATTAAACTAAATGTCATAGTTAAGTCAGTAGATTGATCTCAGGGATTATTACTAAAAGGATAATGT